CCCCCCCCCCCATCCCATGACACAGCGGGGGCAGCCACCGAGCTGCGAGAGGAGACCGGGAGCCCCTGGGGAATGGCTGGCACTTACGTGGCGTTTCACGTCATCCATGCTGAGTGCGACGCCCTTGTCCGTGTTGTTCCTCTTGTGGTTCTTGCGGCACTTCCCCCGCCGGCACAGCCGGTGCTTTATCACCTGCCAGAGCCAGGTCTCAGTAACTGTGGGGACTCACAGGTGGCCCTTCCCCGTGTCCCACACGAGCATTTCGGTGCTCCAGGATGACCTGAGCCCCCCGGCAGCCAGGGGACAACAGGGACACTCACCTCGTAGGCGTAGTCGAACAGCTCCAGCACTGTGAGGATACTGGCCCCGATGAACAGCCCCATCTGCCCTCCAATGTCACCTGCAGAGGAGAGGGAAGCCATCAGGGTGGCATGAGCCTGGTGTCCGGTGGTAAAGGAAGCAGAGAAAGGGCAGAACTCATCACCGCTGTGACTGGTGCCTGGCTGTGACTCATGGGGCCGACGTGAGACCACCTTGTTGGGGGACGCTGGCTGGGTGCTGCTGCAGAGCCCCCGGCGCAAAGCCAACACTCACCCAGCAAACCGGCCACCTCGTACGCCTTCTTCTGCTCGATGGTCTCGTAGTTCAGGGCTTCAAAGAAGATATCCAGCACCAGGATGTTCTCCCTGTGCAGGACACAAGTGGCGTCAGGCTGAGGTTTGGGATGGAGGGACACGACGCCGCCCCGTTGCCGTGGCCCCAGCACGTTACCCGATGTACTGCTCCGATTTGTTGTACTTCTTGGCCAGGTACTTGGCGGAGGCCTTGCTGGGGATCTTCACCATGGAGAGCTCTTTGCCGTAGCGGGTCACGTTGCAGGGCATCTCGCAGACGCAGTACTCATTGTCCTTCTCCACCAGGAAATCTGGGCAGGGAGATGGAGAGACAGAGAGAGGGAGATGGAGAGAAGGAGGTGGAGAGACGGAGAGAGGGAGAGAGGGAGATGGAGAGATGGAGGGGGGAAATGGAGAGACAGAGAGAGGGAGATGGAGAGAAGGAGGTGGAGAGAGGGAGAGAGGGAGAGAGGGAGAGAGGGAGATGGAGAGATGGAGAGAGGGAGATGGAGAGATGGAGAGAAGGAGGTGGAGAGATGGAGAGAGGGAGATGGAGAGAGGGAGAGAGGGAGATGGAGAGACAGAGAGAGGGAGATGGAGAGATGGAGAGAAGGAGGTGGAGAGATGGAGAAACCCAACACCCCCAGTTCAGCCCCAAGGGCCGGGCAGCCTCACCTAAGGCCGGGTCTGCACACTCCTTGTACTGCTCCGGGGTGCAATAGGGGGCATCGCCTGTGGAAGAGAGAAGGCGTTTATTCCGGGTGGGATGGGGACGGAGGGCTGAGCGGCGGGGGCCGAGCCTGCCCCCCCGGCGTGGGGCTCACCCGGCATGTGCACCATGCGGCAGTTGCAGTTCTCCACCAGGTAGCGGGTCTCGCAGTCGATGCGACAGGCCGTGATGCTGTAGGTGTCGTAAAACTCCGAGTCGCCCGCCGCGGCCTTGCAGTCGCCCCAGGGAGGCGGCAGGTAGATGAGCTGGGAGGGGACAGGAGCCAGGAGTGAGGAGAGAAGCCCACCGGCCCCCAGCGTGGTGGGGGGCAGACTCTCGTGGCATAGGCCCCCAGGGTCCCCCTCTCCATCCGCCATGGGGACAGGAGGGAGGGTTGGTGTCCCACAGCAGGGCTGCAGGGAGCACCTCAGACACCCTCAGTCCCTACCCGCTGCTCCTGGCAGGACACGAAGGTCTGGAAGCCAGGAGCCACCCCAAAACCCAGCTGGTCGATCAGCGGGGGCTCGTCCTGGCTGTGGATCTGCACCTTGATCCCGGCTTCGAATGAGGTCTCGTCTGCGGCAGAGAGAAGCAGCGTTAACACGGTGCTGTCCCCACCGAGCCCCGCTGCGAGAGGGACCAAAACTTCTCCTGCCTCCCACCCTTCCCCTGGGCAAATTCCTTCGTTCATGTGTCCACCCATTCGTCCATCTGTTTGCTACACCACGTCCTTGTCCCCTCTGACCCTCCAGCACCCGGGGAGAGCAGCAGGGAAAGTGTTTGCCTCTATTTATAAACAACTGATGGCTGCTTGTCTAAACCGCTGGGGAGTTGCCATGGCGAGGAGCAAAGACAGGGAGGAAAAAGGAAAGAAAAGGACCTGAAGTGATGAGAAATGGAAGAAGGGAACAGGAGGGAGCCTGAGGGACGTGAACCTTTGGAGTGGGGAGCTGGGGTGGAGCTCCTGGAAGGTGCTGAGAAGCACCCCAGGAGTTGCCAGTGACGGAGGGGACCTGCTGGCAGAGCCGCTGGGGCAGTGGGTTACCTGTTTCCCCCCACACTGGCAGGTACTCGTCCTGCTGAATGTCCAGCATGATCTCCAGGCCGTTGCCGGTGCCCCCCTTCATGGTGATGAGCCGGGGCTTCCCATCCTGCCCCGCGTTGAAGGTGTAGCACTTCCCATAGCGGGTGAAGACCTGCAGGAGAGGACACTGGGCTGAGGCTGGGGCCCCTCTGTTGGCACCAAACTGCTGCCGGCACCACGGCATGGAGCCAGGATGGCATCACCAGCTCCAGCCCCAGCCGTCCCTGGCCTGGGGGTATGATACGACCCAGGCTCCTGCCCTACAGGGTGTCTCTTGCTGTTGGAACCACCCTAGTAGAGAAGGAGACGTCCCCACCAAGGCACAGGGATGGGCACAAAGACACTTTGCAGATTTAGAGCACCCTGACCCCGCAGACCCCACGGCAGCCCCAGCCCCCCGAGGCGGCGGCACTCATCCCTACGTCTGCACCAGCACCTCCTCCAAACCCTCCTCCAGCCCTGCAGAGGAGGGGGATGGATGGGATCCTGACCCCCCCCGTCCCTCCTCATCCATCCCAACTCCACCAGCCGGCACGTCCCTACTCTGCTGAGCTGCTGCCAGCCCAGGCAAGGGGCATGTAAGGCCAGGGGGCTGCAGACCACACGGTCCACAGGCGACGGTGACACCAGGACGGAGGTGCCAGGTACCTCCTCTGCCAGCACAGCCCTGGGGCTGCTCTCTGTGTCCTGCCAGCGGGTCTCCAAACTGGTGCCATCCCCATCTCCAGCGAGTCGCCCAGGTGCCGGCGGACGGGGCTGAAATATCAGCCTGTCCCTGAGCGAGCTGGCAAGGAGAGCGTCCCCCATCATGCCTGATCTGACACGATGCTGCCCGGAGCTGCTCCCCGTGCCCGGCCACCTTGGGGCTACTCACCGCTGCGAAGTCGCTGGGGCCACACTCCTGGCCCCGGTAGCTGCAGCTCAGCAGCATGTCCTCCAGCTGGTGGCAAGTGCGGTTAAAAAACCCATACAAATTTAGGGGCTCGTCCTCGTCCCCGGGGCTGGGCTGGGCCAGGGCAAAGCCCAGCTCCATCCCAGGCTCGTAGTCGACCAGGGGGGCCAGGTAGAGCAGATCCTCGTGGCTGAGCTGGGAGACCCGCACACGGTTGATGTTGCAGAAGGTGACAGCGGGGAAGGTCATCTCGGGGCTGTCCTCTTCGCTGAGCAGTGTGACGTGGTGGTACTCCAGGTAGTAGACGATGCGGTCGGCCACCTGGTAGAGGAAGACGGAGAGGGAGAGGAGGAAGGCCAGTGCCCAGAGTGCCTGCCGGGCGCCCAGGCTGCCCTCCACGAAGATGTGGCTAAGCCCATGCAGGGTGCAGCTGCTGGCAAAGGCCACAAAGTCCGTGGCTGCCCCTGCATCCTCTTCCTCCTCTTCCTCCTCCTCCTGGCCGTACAGGAACTCATCTGCTCCATCCTCTCCACTCCCGGTGGCTGCAGCGTCTCTTGGTCCTTCCTCGCTGGAGAAGGAGATGGTGCAGAATATCTGGAGAGGCATTGTCCAGCGTGGAGGTCCCAGCTCCGGCGTGGGGGTCCTGGCCCCTGCCAGGGGGGTCTTCGATGGTGCGTCGGTTCCTCGGGGTGTGGGTGAGAGAGGCTGGGGGAGAGCAGGGCAGGAGGATGGGGCAAGTTCAGAGCAGAGAAATGGAGGAGGGAAAAGGAGGGAGAGGTGAGCGGGAGCGAGGGAGAGGAGCAGAGGGACGCTCAGAGGGGACGGAGAGAGGAGGGTATATGAGGAGCAGGGAGGAGGAGAGGAGGAGCGAGGGGCGGTTCTGCGGGCTCCCCAGGTCCCCCGGGACTGGCCGGCTGCGGCTGCGGGATGGAGCAGAGACGTCGCCGGCTCCAGAAGCACCGACACGTTGGGAGCTCCCGGTGCTGCCCCAGGTTCCTGAGGGGCTGCCGACTCCGGCGAACGCGGGTGTCCACGGTTGTGTGCGCAGGCCCCCAGCGTGTGTGTACCCACACCGCATCCTCCATCCTCGCTGCGGGGAGCGCGGTCCTGGCAGCCCCGTCGGCTGCTCCAGCCAGGCCCTCCCTGCCGGCTGCCGGGCTGTTTCCGGAGCCGCCATATGCCGAGCTCACGGGCTCTTCATCAGGCCAACAGGAGCCAGAGGTTGTCCCAAAATGCCTGTGACACCCTCCTGCTGCAGCGGTGCCAGTGGGGAAAAATGCCTGTGACACCCTCCTGCTGCAGCGCCCGCCCCGGCAGTGCCAACAGGGGTGGAAGGAGGCTGTGGTGTCCCCAAGCTCTCCCAGTGCTCATCCTGCACTGGCAGCACCCGTCCCCGCGGGCTCATCTCCCCACACCAGGGCAGCAGCGAAGGTGATGTCTGGAGCGGTGCCAGGTCTGTCCTCCTCCAAACCAGGGCTGGTTTTGGCAGGATTTGGGCACTGCCATGGTGAGTCCTTCTGCAGATCCCAGCCAGTGTGCAGGGTGTCACCTCATGCTCTGGATCCCTGTGGGGCACAGGGAGCCACCGCTTCCCCTGGGGATGGCGTCCAGGCCTCGTGGGGCTGAGCTGGGGCTGGGGGTCCCGTGGAGGCAGCCCCAAGGTGGGATGGTGGTGGGATGGAGCCGGTGGCCGGCAGCAGAGGTGTCTCCTCCCTGCAGCCCCGAGGTGGGATGGTGGTGGGATGGAGCCGGTGGCCGGGAGCAGAGGCGTCTCCTCCCTGCAGCCCTGCAGCAGCGCAGCCCCTTCTTGCGGTTTGCTTTTTCCCTGCACTCAGCACTTCATAAAAGCATCCGATGCGACCACAGAGCAATCTCCGGCCCCATCCCAGCACCGCAGCCGCCATCGCTGGCCCGAGGGGAAGTGGAGCATCTAAATACAGCAGTGCTTTGATGCGCAAGAGCTGGTCGGAAGGTTTTGGCCGATGCCCGGCTGTGATGAATGTGCCCCAGCCCATCGGTTTGGATGCTCTGCCTCCTTCCCCACACACACCACAGGGCCCTGGTCCCTGAGCACATCCCGGCTCGTGGACATGGGCACCACCAAACCGGGGGGACAAAAACAACCAGGAAACTTGTACAAATCTGAGGTGATACCAGTGCAACGCTATCTGCTCTATCTTCCCGAGCAAGTGGTGCTGGTGTAACAGGCAGGGCATGCACTGGGGATCCCTGCCAGGGCAGTCTCAGCCAAGACGATGACCGATGATGCGACAGCGGGTTGTCCCTTCAGGGGCCGTCCTGGGGCTCCCCAAGCTCAATATTCCCAAAGGGCCTTTGTGTAAGAGGGACGATGGCAGTTGGCACAAAGCTGGGGACACTGTCAGCACCCAGGAGAAAGGGTGGGCGACCTTGGGGACAAGTGCCAGAACCATGGGATGAAATTTCATAAAGCTGAGAGCAAGGCTGTGCCTTTTGGGAGCGACCCAGAGTCTGAGCTAGAAATTCATCCTGGGAAACGGGACCAGGGAGGTGGATCGGGTGGCTGGGAGCCACCACGCCATGGGGACCAGGTCACCTTTTGCCTTTGATGGAGATGAGCTGCAGCTGCGCTGTGGGCAGGGCTGGGCTGTAAAGGCATCAGGGCTTCACCTGGGGGGGTGTCTGGGTGCCCTGTGGGGGCAAATTAGGGGCAAACTGTGCTAATCACACACAGAGGATGCTTTTGGCAGGGAGTGAGCAGGTATGAGCTGGCTGCGACTTCTGGGGGTGGGATTTCTGGTCTTCCTCAGCCCTGGGACAGAGAGTTTCTGTGCAATGTCTGCAGGAGGGAGAGGGAAAGAAGGAAAATGGAAGAGAGGGCTGAGGGGGTTTGTTTAGCCCTGGCAGAGCACCCAGAGGTGAGCAAGAAGGAAAATGGAAGAGAGGGCTGAGGGGGGGTTTGTTTAGCTCTGGCAGAGCACCCAGAGGTGAGCGGTGCTGCCCGGGACCCCATGGGACAGTCCCTGATGGTGTGAGCGAGGGGCAGATCTGATCCTATTGGCATCAGGAGGTTTTGTGTGTCTTCTTGGGAGCAATTGCATCAGGGAGAGGGAGATGCTGTAATGAAATCACTCCATCATCAGCTGGGGCCATTAACCTGCCGTGCTCAGCTTAAACAGCTCGAGAGAGCGCCGGGGCCGGTTCCCAGCAGCGGCGAGGACGAGCGCTGCCCCAGCTCCAGTTACCACTGCCTGTCCCAGTGCCCACACTCGAGCTGGGCTGAAGGAGACTGGGGACAGGCCCAGCCAGGAGCACGGTGGCACCAGTGCCTAAGGAGCAAGTCCTGACCCCACAGCTGGGGACAAACCGTGGCCGTGTCCCCACGTTGCAGGCAGGGGGGGTGTTGTCCTGGTTTGTGCAAGTTTTTTGGAGATGCTGGAGGAGTTTTTGGGCTCGTTCCAGCTCCTCCCTTGCCGGGAGTTATTTTTACCCTCTCTCAGGTAAAGCTTTGGCAGGGGAGAGGGACGGGGGATGCTATAATTAGCCGTGACATCAGCCCCCGTGGCGGCGCGTGCTGGGATGATGCCACCACACCCTGACCCACGGGGATGCTCGATGCCCTCTCCTGCCGCGGCGAAGGACGCGGGATGGTGGAAAGAGCCTGGTTTTTCCCTGGCTCGGGCACAGTGTTTGGCCACTGTCCCGGGGTGGTTCGGCCCCACTCACTGCTTTGCAGCTCGTCACGGGCCCAGGAAAGGAGGTTCCCCGGAGCGGGGGAGCACGGAGGCGGCGGGGGGGGGAGCAGGAGGGGGATTTGACGGCAGCAACAGCACATTTCACAGCCTGTCACGCTTTAATGGCAGAGGAGATCAAAGCCGGGATGGAGTTATTCATAGAGATAAACCAATCCCCGAGGAGGCGAGGAGAAAACAACATTGCAAGCTCTGTTATCCCAGGCCTGCAAGCGGCAGCCCGGCCCTGGGGAGGCTGTTGCAGAAAGTGCCCGGGGAGCTGGACCCACTCGGGTTTGTAACCGGGCTCTGCCTGTCCCTGGCAAGAACCAACTGAGCCGTGGCCGAGCTGCCTGCGCTGCACCGGGAGGTCGGAGCTGCTGGCAGGGAGGGATGAGATGGGGTGCAACTGGGAGCACGATTTGGGGGGATGGATATATGGTGGGGCAGATGGGCAGCCCACAGCTGGGTGCATTGCACTGTAGGGGAGGACAATCAGGTTTGTGATGTGCCTTGGCACCATGAAGGCACTTTGCAGCTCCCAGAGCTGCCAAGACGGTGGTGGTGGCACCTGCTGTGCCTCCATTGCCGCTCGGGGCAGGATGAGCTGCTTTGGGTCGGCTCCACAAGTGCAGATCCCGTCCCCGACCCCGGTGGGAGGCAGAGCCGGGGCAGCCGAGCAAGGTGGGATTGCCCGGGAGGCCGGGATCTCTGCCGGGACTAATCCTGCCACCCCTTATCAGATGCTGCCACCTTGCCTCCGCTCGCTCCGCCAGCCAAGCCGGGTGCAGCTTGTGTTATCCGGCCCTTTATCCCCCAGATTAGACGCTTCACAGTGGATTAGCATGTCACATTCTAATGCAGAAAAATTGATGATTAAAAAGGAGTTTTTTCCTCTGTATTATTCCCCACCTCCGCCTCCTCTCCACCCCGTCCCCGCGGGCCCGGGCAGCCCAGCCCCAGCCGTGGGGACCAGTGATGCTGCGGCGCTGGGTGATGGGGAGCCCCATCCCTGACTCTCACTGGGAATGGGAAACCAAAGTTCCTTTTGGGACCAGGCAGGGCTGTCACGCTCTGTCCCAGCTGGTTTTGGTGGCAGGGCTCAGCGTGGAGGGAGTGGGTGCTCCAGGTCCCTGTGCCACCCTGCCCCAGGTTATCGGCTGCAGACGCGGCATCTGCAGCTCCGGACTTTAATAAAAAGCACATTATGGTGAGTAATGCGCTAAGTGGACTTCATTATGGACCCGGGGCCTCCCTGGCTCCTGTTGTTTCATATGATTTCATATCAGACGAGCCTTATCTCCTCTCCAAACACTTCCATTTAAACTCCATTAATCTTTCAAAGCTTCCCTGGTCCAGCACTGCCAAGCGCTTCCCAGCTGGGTGCCGGCGCTGCTGCCCCAAGCACAGAGGTCACCTGCAGCCCCGCTGGCTCGGGGTCCCCGGGGGGCTCAGCCGGGACCCCCCCCCAAGCTCCATGGGCTGTTGAGTGTGTATCTGTGGCTGGGCCTTTCGTTGTGCATCTCCTGTGACGGCTCCACAGCCACCTTATGCTCCCACAGCCACCTTATCCTTCTTGTCAGGGGTCTATTTACGCTCCTATAATTGAACCAGTTTGTAACACCGCGAGCTTTCTGGGTGATTTACCCGTTGGTGGTGTCCCCCTGTGCCGTGGGGGGGTCACTGGGGCCGTGCTGGCTCCTGCCCTGCCGGGACACGGAGGATGCTGCTGAAATGATGCTAATTCCCAGGCGGCTGGGATTATCCTGTGCGGACACTTATCCCACTGCTTTTCGGTGTTTCCTGTCGATCACGAATTACCCATAAGCAGGTTGCAATTTTTTCCGACATCCTTCACAATTGCTCAGGCAGTTCGTGCAAGGAGATTCAAGCCGACGGTTTTATTGGCGGCGGTGGGGGGAATTGTGCTCCTATCTGGTTTTCTTGCTGCGTTCGCTCACTCTGGCTCTGCACGCATCACGGTTTTCAAATCTAATCTAATCCAAGCAGGGTGGATACGCAGCCCCAGCGTGTTCCTGCTCTTGATGGGTCTCCCCGTCGTTTAGCCGGGCTCTGGGGCTGCCAGGAGAGCAAGGAAAAAGGGGCTTAAAATCCCCAATAAATCAGAGGGAGAGCAGGGAGCGCCCTGTCCCAGCGCTGCTCCGCACCCCGTCTCTGTCCTTAGGGCAAGAGCCTGGACATGGATGCAAAAACCCTCCATACAGCACCAAAAAAAAAAAAAAAAAGTCCAAAAAAATAAATAAAAGGTTATAATATCCAAGTGTTGGGGCTTGTATAAATAAATAAGAGCCTGAGATGGTGAGGAGCTTCTTGAGTCATGGTTGTTTCGGGAATTGCAGTGGTGCCTGCTGCTTAGAGAGCCCTGGCTCCGACCAAACTCTCTGCAGGCGATAAAACAAAGGCGTCTATAAAAAGCCAGATAAATTAAAACCAAGGCGAAAGGCCGCGAGACAGTTAATTTCCCGGATC